ACATGTTAGAAAAATAAGGGAGAGAAAGATAGAGAGATAAGGAGAAGGCCGACAAAGAGGAGGCCGAATCTGCGAAGGAGGACGTTGAGATTGGAAGAGACGATCAAAGCTTGAAGCGTCGGTTTCGTTTCGAAACCTTCAGACAAGTTCTTTTCTAACTCTCCTCTTAGGACCCATAAGTTTATCACCTTGAGTATCAGAATTTTAAATTAAATTTATTAATTAAATCATAGTTAGATAGGAATAATTAAAAAAAAAAAAACATAAATTATTATATTTGATTTATGGATTTATCGGATTTTAATTGTGTATATAGGTGTTGTTTATATATTTTAGAATTAATCTATAGGTGGATCTGTGATCCAAGAGGATTTATTAGGGTTTCATTATTTTTCTGGAATGTTCCTGTAATTTTCTGGAATTTTTATGACATTTTTAGGAATTTATTTTCCAATTATTTGTTTGGTAAATTATACAGAAAACATATATATATATATATATATATATATATATATATATATATATGTTTTCTGTATTTATATATATTGGGAGGGTGTGTTTCGGCGGACCAGAAGGGGCTTCTGATTCAGTGTAGCGCGGCATAGCATAGGTTGGTGTGCGTGTGAATCAAAGCCATTAACAAAATAGATTGATTCAATGTAGTGCGGCGCATGGAGTTTTGGTGCGTCTCAGGTTAGAGACCAGTGGATGAGGTTTGATCAAAGAAAGGGATCTAGTGTGGCGCGGATCACAGGGATATGGTACGCGCAAGAATTGAATGGCTGAGATGCGCTGATGGGGAGCGGCTGATCCAGTGCAGGTGAGCTCATACAGCAGAGAGGAGGGTAGCCAACCAGAGTGCGGCACATCAGCAAGAAGGAGAAATTGGCGCGTGGTAGCGCGTGTACAGCGCGTGTGAGTGCGTGAAGCCACCTGCCAGTATAGGGAAGCGCGTGCAAATAAATTGGGTGCGTGTGGAGGCGCGTGAAGGCGCGTGGAGAAGCGTGCAGGGTCCTGGAAAGTTCCTGTGCAGTCCGGTGATGTCCCAGAATCAATTTAAGCTTGTTAGGGTTGAAATTAACCATTAGAGGGTGTGTTCTTGGTATTTGGAGAGCCTTAGAGTGTTACTAAGATGTTTAGTAGTGTTTAATTGGCAGAAATATAATTAATTGAATATTTTGCCATGGAAGGAGGTGTATGTACACACACACACACACACACACACACACACATATATATATATATATATATATTTATATATACGTATATATATGATTTTAAGTAATCAAATATTATTAAGGAAGGTGTTATACATATATATATATTAAATAATATATGTGTATATGTATATATTAGGTAAGATGGTTAGTATTACCATTCTTATTTTGCTGTCTTTTGATTGGCTCGTTATTAAATTAACGATATGCGTATAATATGCATAAGATGGCTATGTATGAATTAGCTTGTTGACAAGTTGAAAGTTAATACATGGTGGAATTGTAGGCATGGATGAGTTGTCAGAAGCGTAAATATATTGCCTAAGTATTTGTATAAATAAAGTACATACATGGGAAGTATGGATGAGTTGCTAATTAAAGGTATAAATGAATACTTGTGGAAGCATGGTTGAATTGCCAATGTATAACTAAACATACTTAATGAGGCATGGTTAAGTTGCCGATATGTAAATAAATATATTTATAATGGCTTGGCTGATTTGCCAAAGTTTAATTATATTGTTGTGTGTTAGATGATTAAAATATATCATTTATGATTACTGTTTGTGTAAGTTGGATTATGATTAGATATTCTTAAAGTCAAATAGTCTAGTACTTATAGGTTAGTGTATTATTTTATACAAATTAATAAAATAATACTGGTAGTGACATGGATGATTTGTCAAAGTCTAGATATTGACTGTGTGATTTAAATACTTAAAATTATTATTGGTTTTGGAATTAAATATAATGTTCTTTTAATTATATTTTATGATTTTAAATTTAATGAACCTATTAATAGATGTGATTAGTGTCTTATATATAATTATTTATATATATGTGCATCATTGTTTATTAAAACTTAAAACTTTATTAGGTTTGGTTTTGATCAGAGATGATCTACTTATTGGTTTTCAGAAGCCTGGTAAAGAGAACTTGCTCGTAGGGTTTAACTCGCGATTTATTTTTTTCAGGTTGTTACAAGTTCAAGTCTAAAGGTTGAGGATCCGCAGCTGGAGGACTTATCCACTCTTTCTTCTTATTTCAATGTAGGATATTTTCTTATTGTTAGATAATGGATTTTTATTTAGAGATCATTGGATTATTGGATTATGTTATCAGGGGTCCTTGATTTACGAGATTCCCGAGTTGTAACTTTTGGAGAATTATTAATGGAATTTTTATTTAATAGAATTTCCTTCTACGAATTATTTATTCTTTTTATTTCTTTTTGTACTCTGTGCTTGTTTGAAATACTTTAATTGTTTTGATATCCTCTAGTTTTGTGCGCGAACTTGATCAACCCGTGTTCCAAAATTAGGGGTATTACAGTTGGAGAAGAACAAATCAACAACAACCCATTCTCCTTTAAGCATACCCAATGCCAATCTCCACCGAACTATCCAAGCCAAATAACACCCACAAAGAGATCACAAGACAGCAAAAACCACAATAAAGGAGTGCAGCGAAGCAGCCCCAAAAACCAGATTCAACCATTATATATATATAAAACCTCAATCTCACAATTAAATTCATATTTTCGGTAATTTATCTCACAACATCAAAACTAAAAGAAAGTAGAAAGTCAAATAAAACTCACAATTAGGGATGAAATTGAAGAACTGTTGAAGCACCGATAAAGAGTACAAGATTGAAGCAAAAATGGAAGCCATGGCCAAGCTTACTCCTCTTTGAATCTAAATCGACCAGCTGTAGAGTTTTCTATTGGAACGGAGAAGGATTAGGCAGGATTCTTGTTCTACATGAGTCTGAAATTTAGGGTTTACAATGGGGAGATGATAACTCAGGTGCTAACAGAAAGATCCAAGAAAACAAAATTAAATAAAACCTTGAATTTTTGCTCCAAATTGAGGATATTGTGGCTCCAAATGGTTGTTTGTCGTGTCCAAACCAGAGGGAGAACCCAAATAGAGAGGCGAACCAGAGGGGAACCCGAATAAGGAGGCGAACCAAATGGAGAACCCGAATAGGGAGGCGATATCAAAGCTACAACATCATCTTGTCGGCATCTTCTTCATCTAGAGAGAGAGCAGTTTGAGAAAGAAAGATAGGGCTTCGACGAGGGAGAAAGAGAGTAGAGAGAGAAAGATAGGGTTTGGACGAGAGACTAAACTTTAATTATGTTTTCTATTAAAAAAATTCATTTATCTGGACCTTAGGGCGCAAAATTTTGCTGCCACCAAATTGGAGCTGGGATTTCAATTTTTTTTGTTTCACTTTCCACCACAGTTATAAAAATAACCGTGATAAAAGAATATATTTTCTATCATGGTTATTTTAAAATCGTGGTTGAAAGATCTGCCTAAATTACATTAAAAATAATTCACTTTCTACTGCGGTTATAGTTATAAAATAACCGTGATAAAAAATTATTTTTCTTGTAATGGTAAGAGGGGCAAATATAATATTTCATGGATATATTACTAAAAATAAACAAATTATGAGGATAAATTACTAAAAAAAAATCTCAAACCCCTATTATGAAATCCCATATAAACATACACATATACGGTTCCCGCTTTCGCGGTTTGATGTTTGGAGCAAATCGCGTCTTGCATCTCATTGGAGAAATTTAGCCTGGGGTCGTGATATCCATGTCAAAGCCTCACCATCGTTGGGAACTTCTTTAGCCATCACTGTTGTCTAGTTTGTTGGTCTCCGTCATTGTCGAAGCTCGCCCAATCTCTGTGATACATATATATGCATATGTATATTGTTGAGAACATCTAATTGCAATAATGGGGAAGGGTTATATTGGTTTATTTACATTTCTTGTCAAATGTTAAATAATTACTCTGAATGGAATGTGTACGACGATGGACCAGACCAGCCCTGGAGTGGAATTGACAAAACCTTGCAATTAATCCATTTACTTTTATAAAAAAATAGTTTATGGATCAAAATGGGAGACGTGAGTTAGGAATAGGTCGCCCTTCTTCACGCGTCTAAACAAGCTCAACAATTATATTTACTTGTTATTGATGCAACACGTATTATTTGTTACAAAAAAAAATCATCGCTCAATCCATTGTTCAAGTTTAATTGGTTCAATTTTTTCAACTAATAATTAAAAAATTATACAAAACTCCTTCGATTCAACATTTCAAAAATTATTTTATGAAAATTTAGCTAAAAAAAATATGTTTTTATAGTTATCATTTTTTTTTTTTTTTTAATGATGTGTTCAATAACGAAAAATAAATATTTATTTTCAATTGCCAACTCTTAAAAAGACAAAACAAAAAAAATATATTTAATAATATGTTTTTACTTTAATTTAATAAAAAATATATTTTTTATTTTTATGAAGAAAAGAGAGAACATAACAAGGTGTTCAAAACAAGTAGCCCATGTACTGTTTTGTTTTCCAAAAGATATAAAACGACGTCGTTGTTTTAAAGAAGCTAAAAATCCATCAAATGTGACTAACGCAGCCATTTCAACGTCCATCATGGATGGACTCATAGCCCCGCCAAGAGTTGCCTGTAATCCATAATCACCGTTAGATCTTTTACAAAGGACGACTCAGATTTCTACATGACCTCAGCCCTAAGGCCCCTAACTTCCCGTCTATTGCAATCTTTTAATTTATTATAAATTCGAAACGCGTTCAGTACCGGTTGGTGAGTCGGTGACCTAAGACATTCCTGATCAATAAGAACTCCGCATTCCAAAGAAAAATCGGAATCCGCCAAGGACTCAAATAGTAACCCATAATTGGCTAGTTCTATCACCCGCAGGTAAATATAAAAGTACTCTTACTCTTCATCCTTTAAGAGGACTCTCCCATCAGGGCAAGACTATTTGTGACTTTGTGAGAGAACTGGAGAGGGATCGTACTCTCTTTTTCTCTCTCTAAAAGCCCTTTCCTTTCTCCATCTTCTTTCTCTCGAATCCCTCGCGAGGTATGTCTCTGTGATTCTTCTTGTTTTTGCTTTGATCTACACATATGCATAAGTATATATTTATGTTTTTTCTTTTAATTTTTTTTTTTTTCTGATATATAATTATGATAATTAATTGACGACTACATGTTGCTAGTTTGGTTTTGATAAGTTTGAAATTAGGTCTGGGTGATTTTCGGTGCTATATAATACCTGCTTTTCTTTATTTTCTTGAATTATGATTATATGTAAGTGTCTTTGGCGGGGATATAGTTCGGTGTGTGATTTTGGTGATGTGGGGAGAGCTGGTTTTGCTGTATTTCTCAATATTTGGTTATTCGTAAGATAATGTAAAGATTTTGTGTGAATTGTTCATCATTCGTGTTTTACATGGGCAATCTTATTGACCACTAATTAGGCTAAATATTGCAGATTAAACTTGAGGGACAGAGAAAAATTAGTTTTTTTGCGTAGGTCAGTCTGGCTGGGAATGTGTGTAAACTTGTTGTGTGGTTCTTTGTAGATTGAGTAGGATTAGGATTGCAAATACGGCAGTCATTGCACTATAGTGAGGACACAGGAGTAGCATGTCATGTTTTATGCGTGTTAAATGTGAAGACAACACACAATCTTGCCTTCAGAGATTTTCTATTTTTAGAGTGTTGTATAAGATTAGGTGAATTGAGAATTGATAAGTGGACTTTTACTGCTCTGTACTTTTACTCTAGCATTGATTAATTGATTTATATTAGCATATCTATGTTTGTTTGTTATGATGATGAATGCATTGAAAGATTGGTAGCTAATTGTCAAGGGCTCACAGTCCCACATTGGACATGCACTGGAAGTCTGGAATGGTCCTGGGCATATAAGCGGGGAGGAGGGGAGGGTTTGTTCTAGTTTGAATGTTGTTATGCGTTGAAGCTGTTTCGTTTTACTGATTAATATTGAATAGGTGGGGATACTTCTGGTAGTTGTGGTTGGGATCGTAGGATCATTGTTTACAAACTTCGGCTGTCTTAGGATCTCAACCTTCTTTATTTTAGGACATTCAGAGCAAGATTTTGATCTCTGATGGTTTATGCGGTGACTTATGCTGGAGTTGGTGAAAGAAAACATACCTCTTTGGGTGAGTTAATAATACTTTTTTTTTATTTTATACATATGGTATACGGGTGTTTGAATTTAGGTTAGTAGTAAAACACTTTTGAGGTGAAGGTTTATACTTAGTTGGCTTGTTGAATGGGTTTTTGGGGCAGGTTTAACAAATTTGTGAGGGAGATGATCGATTGTAGAATTCACTTCTGGCTTGGAAAACTTTGAATGAACTGTTGTGAATTTGGTCTTTGTAAACTGGATTAGAAGTCTATAGAATGCAATAGAAGTATGTTCTTTTTATGAAATTTTTTTGGGTGGTGGTTGGTATTTCACTTGTAGGATGTTTGCATATTTAGGTACTATTTGATAGAACTGAAAAATAAGCTATGAAAATTTTAAGAGCTGAATATTAAGGGTATTTATAACTGAAGTCTCACTATACTTCAAGATTTTCCCCTAGGTGGCACTCATTCTTTTAAGTGGTGTCCGTAGTGTAATTACATTCACTTAATTAAGAATAGAATTAAGTACTGAATTGGGTTATCAAAATTCACTTTAATGTTCATAAACATATGATACTTGTTTTTAGGTATATTTGTGTGCATGTGGGCCTCTTTTATTGATTTATTATGTTTAGTTCATCAGACAGGTAAAGCCTATTATGTATCAATATTGCTCGACGGGCTAAGGGCCCACTTACTAACGCTTTTACTTTCTTATTTTTGTTTTTTCTAAAAGAAAAATCATAATTTTCATTTCTGAATCTGAAATATAAAGTAGAATTATGTTTACTAATTTGTCATGCTTTCAATATTTTCAAAGCAAGAAATTAGAAAGTACAATAATTATAATTTTGATTTTGTTTTCTAAATTATATACCATCTATATGTGTGTGTGTGTGTGTGTGTGTGTGTATATATATATATATATATAGCTCCGTGGGAAGCTCCTGAAATCAGCATCGCAAGACCCAGATCATTTCTTCTGTGAAATCAAAGGGCATCGCCACCAACATCACCAATTGTATTTAATACACACCACCAATTGTTTCACAAACCCAAAACCAAACACCAAACAAGGAAGAACCTTCCCTCTCTTCATTTCTTCTTCTCTTTTCTCTCCGATTCTTTTCAAGCGCTTTATCAGATTCAATCTATGACAGTTTTCGTCAATGCCTCTCCAAGAACTCACCATCAGACCCAATTTCTGCCAACACTCTCTACAGCCCTTCAATCTTACATAAAAAACTGCCGTTTCAACACCTCCACCACCGCAAATCCCTCACTCATCATCACCCCTCTCAGCGAATCCCATGTCGGCCCGTCTTGCTCTGCGCCAAAATTCTGGGGAGCTTGCAAGTTCAAGATTCTGGTCATTTGTGACTTATTATCTCTTAATCAATTCCTTTAACTTATTTCTTTTTGTCGGGAGTGTTTGTAGAGAGAGAAAGAGAGAGAGACAGAGGAGATTGTCGACGGCGAGGAGGTAGCAGCGGCGATGACCATGGTGGGGAGGAGGTGGGTGGAGGAGATGGGTGATACAAATGATTAGTTAGAATATATATATATATATATAGTGCTATAGTAGAGAAAGTGATTTCTACAAACAGTGTAGAAAATAGAGAAAGTGAGGATTTCTCACTTTCTCTTCTCTTTACAAAATTAGAAAGTACTTTCTTAAAATAAGAAAGTGAAAAGTATTTTATTAAACACAATTTTTACTTTTGATTCTCAATTTTAGAAATTGACAGCAGAAATCAGGAATCATTCCTGTCAGTAAACAGGCCCTTAGTGTTATTTTCTTGGTATATGTATTCACTTCTCAACGTAAGAGGATCTCAGGAAACTTACTATCATATCTAAATCTGCAATAATATTTTTAAAACGTGCTACTAACATTCATTTTCTATAGTAGTTATATTTTTCTATCCTGCTTCCTCCTTTTTATGTTAATATGAATAAGTGGAACTCAGTTTTTGGAGTTTACCTACAGAGCATTTGTGGTGGCATTGAAGTGCTTTAATCATGTTTGGGCGTGCTCCTAAGAAGAGTGATAACAGCAAATACTACGAGATTCTCGGTGTTCCAAAAAGTGCAAGTCAAGATGAACTAAAAAAGGCATATAGAAAAGCTGCCATAAAAAATCATCCTGACAAAGGTGGAGACCCCGAGAAGGTGATTTGCTGTACCTTTGTTTCTATAGTATGCCATAGGCCATGTGCATGATTTTTCTAACTCGAGGAATTTCGGTTATGATATCCAAATGCACATTGACAAACCCAGTGGGCAGATGGTGAATTGACATTTTATTAGAGCTATGATTTGACTAGGCATCATGAAGGATTTCTGCGAACTTTTGAGTTTATTATTTAACACTTTTGTTTATTATTATTTTGGATAGTTCAAGGAATTGGCTCAAGCTTATGAAGTTCTTAGTGATCCAGAGAAAAGAGAGATTTATGATCAATATGGTGAAGATGCCCTTAAAGAGGGAATGGGAGGAGGAGGTGGCGCCTCTCATAATCCATTTGATATATTTGAATCATTTTTTGGTGGAGCAGCTTTTGGTGGTGAGAGACTGCTCGTTGAGATTTTTCCCTCCGCTTGGTTTATTTGTTTTTCTATCAGTTTTTAAAACATTCTTATTTTGTAGGTGGTGGCAGTACGAGAGGTAGAAAGAAACAAGGTGAAGATGTAGTGCATACTCTAAAGGCATCTTTGGAAGAATTGTACAATGGTACAACGAAGAAACTCTCCCTTTCGAGGAGCATCTTGTGCAAAAAATGTAAAGGGTATGTCTTCTATCTCAGCTTATAAATTTATTACTTGAAATTTATAAATCTATCTTTTTATTGCGTTGACAAATGGATTTATGATTGCATGGTGCTTTCTATTCCCCTTCTTTTTATGTGATTGCTTGATGCGCTATTTGTTCCTTTTGTGTACTGTTGCTTTTTGTCTGGTACAAATATGATTATCAAGCGACATATGTTGTACAGTGCTGGTTTTTGATGAATTGGATGGCTTTGGAACAGCTAAATTGATTTATGTGTCAGAACCTTACTATATACTAATCTAGAAATTCCATGAAGCATAAGAGGTTAGCCGACATAATTGCTACTTATCTCGGAATTAGGATTGAATAAAACATTCTTATAAAGAAAGTTATTATTGCAATAGTTCTACAACTTGTAGGCTTTTACAAAATGCATGATTGTTTTAATATGGATTCTTTATAGGAAACTGTTCTCCCAAGTTGCACTTCATGTGTTTGCACACTTCGGAAGAAGTTGGGAAAGGTTGACAGAGTTCGATATTCTACTAAATTGAGAATTCCTATCAAAAGAAGTTCATCACTGTGCTATTAACTATGCCATTGATAAATTAAAATAGTGCTAGATATTCATTAGGGTGAGGAATGCAAAAATTAAGAGATCTAAACTTGGGACTATGATATGTTCCCATCATGTGACAAACAATAGAACCATTGATATGTTCTATGTGTCGTTTAAGGAACTCTGGACTGGGTTTAGCGTAGATGGACCCCCTAACTTGCATGTATTAGTTAAGACTTAAGGGGTTAGTTGAGCCGGGAAAGAATTTCAAGAACTTATTGGTTGGTTTTGTGACTATTGTCAGAAATTTCCTTTGTATTCTTTTCCAATTTAGATTTTTGGAAATATCAAAAGCTACTGTGTTTCTCACATTAAAGCAAGATTTCACTGGCCTTGGTCCAAACAGGCTCAAGCCCATATTCTTTTTAGGACCACATGCTTTGGGCCCACTGGGTAAAAGCTCCTTATTACTCTTGCAATTCCAATCTTGTAACTTCTACTACTGGTTTGGAGTGTTATTCTCAACAAAGTATTGAACAGTGCAGATCTTATTCTAGAATTTGACATCAGGTAAGTACTGTAATCCTTCCACACTATGTAAGTACAGTAATCATTCCACTTTTCAATAACTTCATTCTAGATTCCAAAGTGTATGTGATGGGAAGATTGATATGTTAACTGTGGCATTTATATGTAAATGGGGCTATAAAAGATCCGAGCCAAGCGTTGGGGTGTTCGGGCCCAGCTTGGCAACTCCAGAGAGGTGCTTGAGCTCAATCAAGCTTCGGACAGCTCGTTTGGAGCTCGAGTTCGGCTCGTCGGTGTTTGAACAAGCTCAGACAGCTCAATTGGAGCTTGTTTGACCGGGTAGTTCTAAAATCATTGGCTAAAAAAAATGGTTAAAGCCATGTCTCCATGACTTAGTCATCAATTTAAATCATTGGCTAAAATCATGAGCTTGTTTTGCGGTTATGTCATCAATTTAAATGAGTTTGGTCCTTGTTTTATCTCACTTGAGATTTAGAAGGCTGTTGTGTTTTAACTTTTGTGGCTGAGTTTTGCATACTTAATATTTCAGGAAAGGTTCAAAGAGTGGGATATCTGGGAGTTGTTATGGATGCCATGGTACTGGTATGAAGATCTCAACAAGACAGATTGGACCAGGCATGATTCAACAGATGCAACACGTCTGCCCCGAATGCAGAGGCTCAGGTTAAAACTGGAAGACATTTTTTTTTCCCCTTCTTTTCGTTTTGGCTTTCTAGGATTATATTTAGTTTTCTAATCCTGAAATTAACCTCTCATTGGTGTAGGCGAGGTCATTAGTGAGAGAGATAGATGCCAACAATGCAAAGGGAACAAGGTTAGCCAGGAAAAGAAAGTGTTGGAGGTGCATGTTGAAAAAGGGATGCAGCACGGACAGAGGATTGTGTTCCAGGGACAAGCTGATGAAGCTGTAAGTGATGATCGACACAAATTGTTTGTTTGAGGGTGTTCAAACTGAATGACCTTTTTCATTTTAAATGCTTGTTTATAGATTTAGACAGATTTAATTTGTGTGTGTATATGGAGGGGGAGGGAGGGAAACAAGATAAAATAGAGGACCATAATTGAAGACAATAAATGGAGAACTGACAAGAAGTACAAAAATGTCCATTATAACTGCTAGTTTGTGCTGTAATTTAAATATTAAAGCTGGTGTTGACCTTTGATATCACTATCAGGTTTTCGACTAAAAATTGTTCTTCTATGCAACTTAACATCAAAAATAATTTGTGGAACTCTGAAAAAATCGCTGAAAACAGGTTCAATGATTTTGTATGCCTGTCATATGACAATGTAAACATTATTTTAGGGACAAATGGTGTCTCTTTTAGTTAAAACCTGTTTGAGTATCTTTACTTTACGACTCCTGGATAGATAATGCCAGAGCTCATAGCTTTTCTGGCATCAATTGTTTTAATTTACCCGAGCAGCAATTGCATAGTAGTAAAGGGCATCAAGAGCGGTGTGGTGGTAGTGGTTTTAATTCTTACCGATGTTTGGAAGAATTTCAATTTAATTTGTCTTTGTTTTTTTCCTGTTGTGAATCACTGATTCCTTTTCCTTGCTGGTTCTTTCTTAAGTTAATGTGGTAAATCTTTCTACTTTCTGTGGCTTGCAGCCTGATACCGTTACAGGAGATATTGTCTTTGTGGTGCAACAGAAGGATAATCCCAAGTTCAAACGGAAGTTTGACGATCTCCATATAGAACACACCCTCAGTTTAGCAGAGGCTCTTTGTGGGTTTCAGTTTGCTTTGACTCATCTTGACGGCAGGCAGCTTTTAATCAAATCGAACCCTGGCGAGATCATCAAGCCTGGTAATGCTCGGGGGATTCATGGTTATCTTTCATTTTTATATTATTTTTTTTGAAAGAGTAATGCTTACTCAAACTTAAAGAGCGAGCTGACTAAACAACACAAAAGAAAACTAGTAGTAGATACATTTAGGTTCAGTTATTTGGCTTAGTTTTTTTTGTCTGGAAAAGCATTTTCCTTTATAAATCCTATCGGGGTAGGATTCGTTTTCTGATCTTTTTTACTGCAGATATGTACAAGGCTATCAATGACGAGGGAATGCCACAACACCAGAGGCCCTTCATTAAAGGCAGGCTTATCATCCATTTTGATGTGGAATTCCCAGAGACTGGGTTTCTTTCACCTGAGAAATGCCAGGCTTTAGAGACAGTTTTACCAAGGCCAAACAAGCAGTCATCATATATGGATTTGGATGAGTGTGAGGAAACCACTTTGCTCGATGTCAACATTGAGGATGAGCTGAGGCGGAAGGAGCAGCAACGACAGCAGGAGGCTTATGATGAAGATGACGATGACGACGACGAGCCACATATGCGTAGAATGGCATGTAACCAGCAATAAGGCTTGAATTGTTTTATTGCTTGCCATTGTTGCTGTTTTAGCTTATTTATGTGCTAGAATGCACTGTCCTGTTTGTGATAGAAGGTACCTATGCCTTTTGTTATAAGTTTGCTTTTAGGGTTCAAGTTTTTTTTTTTTTCTTTTTTTTTCATCTGCATGTTATTTCTTCTTTATATTTCCTAATACCTTCTTGGAGTTGAATTAGTGTGTTCTATTATATTATTCATTATATTATAGTATATTTCTCTCTCTTGCTGTGTGTGTGTGAGAGAGAGAGAGAGAGTACAAACAAGACATTTCCATTTTCCGATGGTTTACAGAAATCATTTTTTTTTTTTTTTAAAGGGGTGAGATGCTAATAGTCTGATTTGGTGGACATAGTTTGCTGATTCATAAACTTATTAGGTGAAAAATAAATAATTCCTGGCCTCTAAAGGAACTGTATGAAAATGGAAAAGAACAATTCACTGTTAACAAATAATTGTAGAGTTGTCTATCGCTTCTCTAACTTTTTCGTTTCTCTGCCATTTTAAAAATAAACACAAAACACTTTCATTTAAAACTTCTTAATTTTCTTTGTGCCCTCATTCTGATCCAATGTTGGGAATTTTATTTGTACTTTGGCAGTCCTTAATTTTCTTTCATGAAATTATTGACGCCACTTAAATTATTCCATAATTTAAGGAATTTAGCCAATAAAATCCCAAGTGGTAAAAATATTATCAGTATAAGATATTTTATCATTATATATATATATATATATATATATATTATATACATGATGGTGTATAACCTCTTAGAACATTTCCTAATTTATCACCGGACAGATGTGACCGTCATGCCTTTTTGTCTCGACAATTTCAAAGTGACAAAACCAAAAAGCAAACGTCATTGAATCGACTATCTTCTAATCAATGCAATGATTTACCAAAAATAAAAAAAAAACAAAAAAATGAACTAAAAAAAATGCACATTGCAATGAAGTTGGGGAATGAATTTTAGGTTTTGAAGTGGGAAACAACTACATATATCATAAAGTGTATGAATGTAAAGTTTCAGATTATCTTGTTGATGTTTTTCTTTCTCAGCAGATCTCACATGCCTTCCACTAGGAAGGAGTAGTCAACTTTGATAAGAGTACACTAGTAAATAAGTTATAATTATACATACATACATGCACATTGAGCACCATTCCTTTAAATGATTCCTGAGCTTACCAATACTTCAATTTGCTCCAAGTCTAGGGTTTCATCATCACTATTTCCCTACAAACCATGAGGCAAGCCGTGTTTTTATATATAGTATTGACCTGTATGGCACTTTTATATAAAAGAATGGTCACAAATCACATCTCTCAATCTTTCTTTTGCAATGCCCATATTGCATGTCTCCAGTGAATTATGTTTCTCAAGCACTTGCAAAAAAAGTCGTAATACAGGAGTTCGATGGTCGCACAATTCTGACTGTTGTATGTAAATAGAGTTGGCATCGTATCACCACCAGAGATGGATTCAGGAACTTTCAAGGGGCAACATTAACATTCGATAGGTATATAATTTAAAAAAGGAAAAATTAATACTAAAAAAAAAATAAAAACAATTCAGTTGGGGCGATTGCCTCTACTTAAATCGCGTCCATAATCACCACTGATGTCATCGTGGCGTCAGTTCCCATAAGAGACGAACTTATTAAGATGTTTATACTAATATACCTTACTAAACAGTACTATATAGAACCTTACTCCTTGAAATTATTAAAAAATATCATTATTGACGCTCTCCCTCACTTAATGGTCTGGGTCCGTCCCTCACTGGCACCCACATCAAAAAGTTTGGACTAATATCATTTTTTCTGGAAAAAAATGATTATAATTAAGATATTTAAAAACAAGCAAACAGAGCCTAAAGAAGAAGGAAGAGAGGGAAAAAAAACAAAACTATATGGAATCTGAATTGTTTTCAACTTTTTGGTTAAAGTCAGTGAAGTTGTAAATATCAATCATAATATCTGTATGTCACGTTTTCATTAGCAATAAGGTGGGTACACTTTGGTTTGGCTACAATGCTTGGAAAAAAGCTTGATAATGATAACAGATGACTTGTGGTCCATATTTGATTGATTTTGAAATCTATTATTAATTTTTGGGACAACAAACGTGTTGTTTAGAGCGTTTGATTATGATCAGATAGTGACGTCACAACCAGCTCATCTTTAACGGCTAGTTTGGTGTGGTAAAATGGAATAAAAGAAAGTGAAATGAAATGGTTTTTTTTCCATTCTCGTGTTTGGTGTCAATTTTAAAGTTGGAATCATTATTCCTACTATTCTTGGAGAATGGTCATTCCATCAAAATCATTCCACCTTTAAACAAAAGGAATGATCATTCCATTCCATTCTCATTCCATTCCCACCTCCATTTTCATTCCATTTCAATTCATTCCACCACACCAAACTAGCACTAAGTACTGTTTCTAGTTCATTTCTAATTTAATGTGGTTATTACAATGAAGTTTGAAATTGAAAGTTCTACTATTAAAATTATACACTGTCACATTCTGAATTCTAAGAACCCAGTTCATGAGAAAGGAAAAATAGATCCGACTCTAATTTAGGTCCTACATGCGGAAGCTGAATATGGAAAGTTGGTTATAAGAAGAAAATGCTCAATCTGTGCAAGGTTCGGTCACCTAGAACAGTAGTTGCAGTATGATCACCTTAATAGTTTAAGGAAATAACTTAATGACTCGTAGTATATATTCTAACAATATATGGTATGGTATCAGAGACTTTCGATCTCTGATAAATAATCTATCAGTTTATCGTAGTCACAGCCGGGATAGCACCATTAGCCCCATTTTTGGTGGCGACGGTCAACCGGTAAATCATACTTGCAAATTCACGCTTCTGCACTCCAAACCGCGCCACCATGCGCCTCAAGTGGTAATCCCACTCTTTTATGTGCTTTCACGCGTAGCAACGGTAATCCCGCACCTTAACGTGTTGAGTCAGGTCCGTCACCGCGCCACCGCGCGTCATTAGTGGTCATTATGCGCTCACACGCACCTTCAACCTATTCACGTTCCGCACATACCTCCAAGATCTTCACAGATCCACCTTACGTCACCTGACATGTCCACATCGGTCCAACGTTAGACACATTCTCCAACGGTGCCAGTAGTTGTGCCAAGTTACCTACCACGTCAGTTGCCATGCAGCAGAGGTGCCAACAGTAGTGCCAAGTCCACCTGCCACTTCGGTTGCCTTGTCATCAACCCCGTCGTCATCGGTGCCACGTCAGCTATATCAGGATGAAAGGATTATTTTCAAACTCAAGATAGTTTCATATAATCCACCTTAACTTTATGGGGCTTAGAATATATTATATAATATATTAGTATCATGTATTGTTAGAATATATTTTATAATATATCATTACCATATATGTAGCATAACCTTATATGATAATGACTTCTCTCCACGCATAACATCTCCTATATGAACCTTCATGTACTCTTATATTACATATCTCATACACATCAATACAATATACACTTCCACTCTTTTATATTTAACAATGACAAAGACTCAACTCAGCATTGAAAATTTTATTCCATTCCGTAAACAACTATTTGTCTAAAGTTCTATCAATGCCAATCAATTTTCAATGTTTTGTTTTTAAAAATTGGACAATTTATATAAGCAACTATAGATTTTGGTGATGTCTCTCAAATTATATATCCTTTAGTTTTATCACTAAAGTAATATAAAATATCACGAAAAAAAGAAAAAAAAATATAGTGACATTTTGCGTCCACAAATTGATTAAGCTGGTCCATTGAGAGAAAAATGTTGGTGATGTATCTTCTTCTTCTTCTTTATAGCTTAATGACTGAAAATTCTGCCCAACCAGAAAGTTTGGTTCTCAATCACCATAAAAAAATAAAAAATTAAACACTAATAATGAAAAAAATATTGATGGTTTTGTGGATGTAGTGTTTGATATCTTTCTTGGTGTATGATACTTAATGTTCTTTTAATATTATGCAACTACCATTGTCTATTAATTTTTATCTGTGGGGTTGCATAGAAAATTAAATAGATTTTTGTAAAATATGGACAACCACTAGTTATTTTGTGAATTTAAAACCATATTATTAAACAAATTAGAATAAAGGACAAATTCATTGATCACAATGCTACATTTTTTGGGATCTGATAATGTTCAGTACCCTTCTTTTAACTTGATCCTAGTGATACAGTAATCACATAAATAGTCATTACGTGCGTCATAATTTGTGATCATTATGTTCATTGACAAAATTAAAGAACACTACACACCTACTTAGTTTGTCACTCAGAAAATAGTAAAAAATTCCTGTTTGATTCAGTTTTTTAAAAATTATTTTCTAAAAATTTAGTTACAAAAATACATGTTTTCATAAAACAATCTTTTATAATTATCTGAAAACAGTTTTCTGTTTCTTAAGTTATTGAGAACCGTTTTTAGAGTGATAAACCAAGCAGACCATACATGTATAGATCCGTTTTTTCGAAGTGAAAAAAATTTATATACTAGTGTACTGGTAAAAGCTTGAATTGGCAATTAAGTGACGAAATAAATTTAACTGATAGAACAACAATTTATGCAAATAGTACCAAAGTTTAGCTTTGTACCTAACTGTGTCTACCTCCCAACATCCTCATCAATGAAAACCATAGTGGGAAAGATTAATTTTATGAGGTTCAATATGAGAACTTGAGTGATACATCACAAAGATTAATTAGTGTACCCAAATCTTTGAAAAAATAAATGAAGAAAAGAAGTGGCAACCAGAATTAGGTAGGAATTTTATTTAAAGTTCCATATTGAATTATTGAAGAATGATACAATTCAAGTAGGATAGAAGGCAGCTAACTCAATTCATGAAGACCCAAATTTTAATGCATAAGGACAAGCTAAGGACATCTTAATTAATAATTTAAATTATGGCATACCCAAATTTTAATGCATAAGGATAAGCTAAGGACAGTTATATACCTTTCCTTTCCAATAATGTCTAGTAAATTTTGTGAATCAAATATACGTAACGTCCGTATATACATTCTTCAACATTAGTGTTATCGACACAGTTCAAATCTCACATCAGTCATTTTTTAAAATACCTAAGACTACGACCAGCTGAAATCATCCCTTTCCAAGACCTTGTATAGCGGAACCAGAACTAGAACCAGAACCGAATAATGTCTCTTTATATGTATGAACACACAGTATCGAATAATGTCTCTTTATATGTATGAACACACAGTATATATGTATATATACACCCTTGATTCACATTCTCTTTTTGGTCTTTCTCTTATATTTCCTTCCTCAAATTATCAATCAAATAAAGCAAGATATTTGAAAACAACATAAAAAGTGGGGAGTCCCTTGAGGAAGCTTCTGTACTAATGGCAAAGGCAAATTTCTATATAAAATAATTATAAAAAATGAAATCATTTAGGGTTAGATGTGGGGGTGGCTCAAAGTTAGGTTTTGGTCATGAATGTGATCTAGGGTTTTGAACATAATATCATACTCACTTTGATGTCCAAGATCACCTTTCTCAGTGGCACTTATTAAGAGGGAACTTATAGCTCCCAAAACTCTTATTTGGACCAACTACTACAGGACCCACCAAGGAATCTTTGAACTCACAAGAAAAAGAGATCATTTCATCATTTTTTTTTAAAGCGTGTGAAAAATGCTTATTTTTATTTGTTGTTTATCCTTGTTTTCATTTGTAGTTAAGTTCTTGGTCAATATATATGCCACATAGATAAAAATAAGTCATTCAATTTCTGTTAGTGGTCCAAAAGGCTATTAATATATATATATATATTTTGCATCAACATTTTTATACGCGATGATCTCTACCCTTTTTCGATATGCATACCATAGCCTGAGTTGCCAATTAAATGACATATGCAGGAAAAGAGATACAAATGTTAAGAGATAGACTAGGGAGACAAATAACCTTACACATTGATTATATATATATATATAGCTAGAGTGTAAATAGCTTGATATAGATGATTAAGAATTTAAGATTAAATAAAGTAGAAAAAAGAAAGATTACTTGCTTGACCACAGATCATCAATTCATCAAATTTTCTTCATGTTAGTAAGCGATCCAATTTTCTATTATTATTTTTATGTGATTAATGAATAAAAGACAAAATAAAAGGAGACTAATGAAAAAGACATTATTGATACATACCATAAATTTTAATTGAAAAAAACCACGGCTGTGTACTTGATTTTTATGATTGAGTAAACTGAACCATCTGATCACCGGTGAGGATGGAATTTAAAAAGCTTATTACTAAGAAAATAAAGTCATTTATGAAGACAAAAACAGAAGAAGATAAAATTACTTGTCCAATTGAATTATGGGCCAGCCCAGCAAAAATATGGTGTAGGACCCACTAGCATGTGCCCCAGCCCCATGTGCATCAGTTTTACAGTTTCTTTAAGTATACACTTGTTGCAGATCAATATATTGTAGTATTGTACACCTTGCAATTTTTCATTAAAAATAAATGATTTGTAGACTACAATACCAAGTAAAGGGTAAATACAGAATAATTATAATATAATCATGTATATGTTTGTTGCATCATTTGTCTTCTTCCCTGATAACAGAATACCTATATATACACACACATATATAATTAATATATTGATCTCTATCAGACCTAATCCTTGTATGTTCTTTCTCACATAGTCAAATATCAATTGGTCAATTCACTTAAATTTTTCATTAAAAAACAAAAAAAAAAAAAAAATGATTTGTAGACTACAATACCAAGTAAATGGTAAATACAAATTAATTACAATATAATCATGTATATATACTACTATGTAACAACATGCATATATGAATATACACCCATATATATAATATATTGGTCTCTATTAGACCTAATCCTTGTATATTCTTTCTCACATTGTCAAATTTCAATTGGTCAATTCACTTAAATATCATAATTTTGTACCATATATTTAATTAAATGTCTAATGTGTGTGTGTGTGTGTGAGAAGAAAACAAAATAGATTAACATAAATTAAACAATAGCCAGAGAGACAATGATATTCTAGCCAAAAGTCCAAGACCAGGACAAGTTTGGACATAATTGAGACAACTTGAAGATGACATACCAACTAGCCTGGCATTCTCAATTAAAACTAGGTAATAACACAAGTTTTTACTTTTTAGTAAGAAAAACACAGAAGGGCAATATTTATGGTTGATGCATGGTTAGGTCAAGTGGATACTTCATGCCATGGCCACCGGGGTGCAGAGGAAATAGGCGGTCCGGTGGGCGAGGGGCGGGCGATGTTTCCGGTCATCTGTCAAGGGGTCCATAATTAAATTGACAGCATTGTATGTGACACTGCAAATATATATACATACACACACACCATAGGCCAAATTTCATGTGGAACACATGATTTTTTTTGTTGGGACAAAGTTTACATGGCCTACCACTATCAACCCAAAGTATAGAGGTTCAAAATAAATGACAAAATATGCATACATAAGAAAATTGTTGAAATGCAGAAGGGGTTGTTATCAAATGTACAGTTACATCTTGCTAATGATACATGAAAACAAACACACACACTGACACATAGTTTTATATATATATATATATATATATGGGTATATTGACATGAAGAATATGCCAAAGGTGAGTCACAAAAAAAGAAAGTGTCAAAAATGTCCTCTCAAAGCATACATTATATTAAAATGCCACATGGGTAACAAATTAGCTGAACTGTAGTTCCCTTGTGCCAAGGGCCCATTACTTTTTTTTCTTTTCTGTTTTTTTTTTTTTTTACTTTTTTTCTTTTCTTTTTTTCTTATTTAAGTCATTTCCAATTTTTGGAAGAATCATAAAAGCCCAACCCCTCTATTTTATGTGACCATCATTTCACCTTCTTTCTCTGGCTCCAACAAAGAGTACCTCGATCTTATCATGGAAGAGCATATTAACACACAGACTATAGCTCGAGACTACTTTCCCTCATCTTCCACCACCACCACCGCGACGACGACCTCCACCTCCACTTCCACCTCTTCCTCCACCACCACCACCTCTTTTTCGACAAATTCGGATGGTTCAAACTCATTTTCAAGTTTAGACCAAGTCACAAAAAGCACATTGAAGGTTCAAAAAGGCTCCAAGAGAGCTCAAGAAGCCGAAAATGGCAACGAGCACCGGAGGCAGCGCAAGGGCGGCGATGAGAAGCACCCAACGTATCGCGGAGTCCGGATGCGTTCTTGGGGCAAATGGGTGTCTGAAATTCGTGAGCCGAGGAAGAAATCAAGAATATGGCTTGGAACTTTTCCGACGGCTGAAATGGCGGCTCGAGCCCATGATGTAGCAGCTCTAGCCATCAAAGGCCACTCTGCTTATCTCAATTTCCCTAAACTTGCGCATGAACTTCCCCGGCCGGCCACCACCTCGCCGAAGGACATCCAAGCCGCCGCTTCCAAGGCCGCTGCAGCCACTTTTGCTGGTGAAGCTGAAGCAGAGCCGAGCCAAGCCGTGCTTCTGACTTCCCATTCGTCAACCACCTTGTCATCACGAAACACTCAGGGATCATTCAATTCTCCATCAGAGGGTGATGATGATATATTCTTTGACCTGCCGGATCTCTCCCTCGATTGCTCGGATCACAGTGATGGATACTGTTACTCGGGCTCGTCGTGGCAGCTGGCTGGAGCCGATACAGGACTCCGGCTCGAGGAGCCATTTCTATGGGAGTACTAGTAAAATTAGTGATTAGTGAAGTCTCATGTCAGCAACAAAACTAACTTTCAGTTCAATTCTTCAAACATGGTTACAACTCATTTCATTTTCTGTAAAAAAAGGGAAGTAACCCAATTGTGGAAAGTCATGCATGTTTATACCTTCAAAAATAAGTTTGGCTTCTTTTTAATTTGGTTCAGCTTGGATTTGCAGCCTGAAAGGGTTGCATACATTTGTTGTTTTGCTAACATGTGCCCTTAATGTGACAATGAAGTTCATTTTCTCCAGTATAAAACCAGAGCACAACAAATAGTAGTAATCAATAAGTAGCTTGTGTGTGTGTGTGTGTGTGTGTGTGTGTTTGGGGGTATCAAATGGAATAATATCCAGAGCATGGATTGTCTTTTTCTTTGGACCAGTTTATGGGCTTTTGTGCAGTCTATTTGTGGCATTGTTCTAAATTCCTTCCAATGGGATGAGACTTCTAACCTGTCCAAATTGAGGTTGCCACAAAGTATGCAATAGTCTAAGATATTTTACGCGCGGTATTCTCGCTCAATGCACAATGATATTTTTTTAAAAAAAATTATTTATTTTTTATGTTTTAAGACAAATTAAGAATCTCCATGATTGTGCATTGGACAAAATTACTATGTATAAATACCCATGTAATATTGTTTACTTTTTCGAGAATTGGGATAAGGAAACACACACAAGCATATAGAATTTAAATTTAATGACATGGATAGTCTTAAAGTCAAATTGAACATACAATCATGTGTGTTTCAATCAAAGCCTTTGATTATTTTCCAGTACTAGATCTGATACATTCAATTTGATGTATGTTTCAATTACAATCTGTCATTATTATACAATAGAGGACCCCGATTCGTCCAATTTAATTCCAAAATTACCCATATGAAAAAAACTTAAACTCCCTTCATAATTTTGTCAAAAAGATATTATATGTGGTTATTAAATCATCACATCTTTCCTTCTACGTCTATCAGTTATAAGGATTCTATATATATAGGAGGATCATGGTAAAATCTTATTGCCTACATCACTTTCTCTCTACCATTATTAAACAATAGAGAGAGAGTTAATGCCTAGTACCCACCTATATGAACACACATACTAGTACCCAAGAAGGCGACAGCATCTTCTAAATAAAGTAGATTTGAGTAAGAAAAAGAAAGTCTCTTTAAGAGAAATCCAGCAAACACAAAGGAAAGGAAGCCATTATTTGCTTAGTGAGGAGTGACCTCACACCATCATTATTATCTCATTTTCTCCATCACTTTAACCACATTCCCATTAGAAATTGGCCCAAGTGTTATGACAAAGGACAAAAGATTATCTATTGCTTCCCAAACAAATCTTACTTATTCTAATACAAAGGTTTTCTAATAATTACAGTCCCCACACCTAACCAATTATTTGCTTCATATAGTTAATTAATGAAATGATAATACCAATCAAGGTCTTGGTCAAGATTCATTTTCAACAAGTGCATGACAATTATAGTGAGGAAATTGAGATGATTAATTTTATCCAATTGGACTGAAAATTTGTGGTTGATCCGAAAAATAATTAAGGGTATATTTTACTTACATCCTCTTTGTTAATGTCTCACGTAAAGTACCCTTATATGTTTCATAATCTCGTTTATCTTTTCGAGATAGATTCTTGTTTATGTAACAAATTTTTCTATATCCGTCAAAATTTTCATTTTAATGGCTGAAATAACAACAAACATTTCATAGGTAAAAGGGAAAAAAAGTCATTGGTATAGGAAGTAAATGAAATTATGAAACGTAGAGGGGTCTATGTGAAATATTGACAAATTTTAAGGGAGGTAATTGAAATTTACCCATTTTAAAGGTCCCATTGGTAAAACAAATAATTTTAATGTAATTACTTAGTGAAATGCTATATCACACTCATCCAAGCACCACATAAAAGATAGCCAATAGTAAGATGAGGTGGGTCTCACATTGGATTTGATCCTTCATGGCTTAGATGGAATTAGTGTCATATATTTAATTTATAGCAACACCTATCTTTATCACTCTTCAAGAAAGTATAATTGTAACACTTAAAAGTTGCATTTTAAAATTTCAGATTAATTATTGTGAAAGAATTGTGCTGTAGAAGCCAAGTAATTGGCTTATTTCTCATTAGAAAAATATTTCACATTTTTATTTTATTTATTTATTTATCTTTGTCTTTCACCTCCTTTTGTTGACAACCAAGGTCATGAAATATGTTATTAAAATTAGATAAAGGTCTAAAATAGTGTATTAATCTTAAAGATATAATGTTATGATTGTGATATATATATATATACAAACACACACACACACACACACACACACACGAATGTAGGCCTTAGGTTTAGGGTCTTAGGGTTGTCACTTGTTACTAACATGTGAGCATTATGTTTATGATTGGAGTCACATGAGAACCAGACATGGTCAATTTGCAGTTGTGGATTAAGGGAGTGTTGATGATGTTGATGGTGATGAAGAAGAAGAAGGTGTGTTAGCGGCTATTTATTTATTTATTTTATAATTACTTTAATATAATCATATGTTTACCTCACAGCAAATTATATAAGGGCTTGTTTGGAATTTCATTGAAGGTTCAAGTCCTGTGCACATGCTAGTTGGGCCGCAGGCTGTCACTTGAAAGTGAAAAAAAACAAAATCTGAATACAGAGTATAATCTTTCTTGTGTACGTTGGCTCAATTCTCTCACTCATCCATATTTTATCTTTATAGTATTCAGAAGGTATATATATATATATATATATATATATATGCTGAGTTGATCAACAATTAATAAAAAAGAATAGGGATATACATACATATAGTTAAAATTCACACACTCATTTTGTCTTCAGTTTCAAAGATGAAAAATTACTAAATGATATTTTTGCGAACAAACTCTAAATTCAAAGCCAAAAGAGGCTGGTGAGTCTCACCGAACAACAATGATGGAGTCCACTAGCCAGCTCCAAATTCATAGTTCAAAGAGAATCTAATTTGATGTTAATTAACTCTGTTTATGAGAAAGACTTTCTTACACTTTTGATATGTTGTAATCTGTGCAATTAACCAATTACATTGTGTTACATAAATAAAAGTGTTTTATTTTAGCGTGGTATGTCATTACGTGTCAATATCTAATCAGTTGATAATGCCATGTCACTAATACAAACGGGAGCGATAAAGTTTTTCTCTAACTCTATGCGCGAGGGTATGGTTGCCCTCTCCAAACATTTCAATAGTGGCAGCCTCATATATTCTGAAATTTTTTCTTTTTTGCAATTTTACCTCCTCATATATTCTGAAATTTTTTCTTTTTTGCAATTTTACCTACTAATTTCGCTTTTTAAAATTATATACTTGAAAATTTTTTAGCTTACCCCGTTGAAATTAGAGAAAAACTTCACTATTGTCTCCCACCCCTTCCCAACATTCTTTATTATAACGAGTGAGCGCTAACCTATTTACTCAAAAGCTCAAGCTGCATACCTACACATTTATACCAAATCATTTTCCCATCCGAATCTGATATGGGACAAATGACCCTTATTACGTTATCCCCTTTATTGGAGAGTTCTTCGGGTCGGACGCTTGGACGACCACGGATCAAAGACTGGGTCTTACTCTGATACCAACTATAACGGGTGAACACTTGTCCATTTACCTAAACGCTCAAACTGTTGGGTAGTACTGCATACCCACCCATTTATATCCAATCATTTTATCATTCGAATACGATGTAGGACAAATAACCCTTATTACAACTAACCCCTCTCTCTTCTTTTTTTTCAAATTCTTATTCCAGATGGTACAATACAATAAATTGTAATTTTCATATTTAATTTGCAAACAACCCCTCAACAACAATTAGCTAACGGATTATTTAACACAAACCCGTAAGCTAAAAATTATTATTATTATTTACAACAAAGACATGCTACTTATAAATGAGATTGATCTTGACAGGAATTGATTAAAATATATGTGTGCAGAGATACCCGATATTCATATGATCCTAATGGATTTCTTTTTTCTTTTTTCATCTACTCTGAAGTTAGTATTCAAATGTATGTCTAAATCATTGGTTTAATTATGATCTTAATTACTATGATTAATTCTGTTCAACAATCATATGGCACCATGCCTGACATTATTAACAAGAAATCTTTTTGATGCAGTACCATATGCAGCTGGTCGGGGGCAAGCCTAACATCATGTGTTTGAACATGGCTGATTATGATTTCCTAGCTAATTAATTATATAATATGATCCAAATATGTAACATGGGACGCAATGACTGGTACACATGAAATATCTATTTTTTTGTTTTTTCACAATAACAGGAATGTCGGAACTCTGTCCCGATTAGTCCACGGAACCATGCAAGATGCTCCCTACACGGATCCAGTAAAGAGAAACGGGTTACTTTGAATCCACAAAGAAGGTATTTTGAATCTACAAAACAAGAGATAAATTAGGAAAAAATCTGATAAATATTGTATTGATAATTGATTCTGATCTATGTATTGCATACATTTATAATGAAAGAAACCCTAATTCATAAGAAACTAATTGCAACATGAATCCTTAATTATAATATAAAGAAACCTAATTCAAACTAAGTGCAGCAACATGAATCCTTATAACATAAGAAAACCTAATCTCGAAATACTCAAAAATAGGCCTAAAAATAAAATTTCTCTAGAAAATAGAGAAAGAAACCTAAACAAATAAAACTCCTAAATATATAATATGAATGTAATTCCTGAAATATTCAATAGGCTTCTATAAGACAGAGAAATCCGGGCCTGTTTTGAGGCGCATCGTCTTGTTCGTTGAGAGTCATTGGGACGTTTTCAGTATAAAAAAACAAAAAAAAAAAAACAACTCCTGTTGGGTAAAAAACGGACACTTCGGAATCAGTTCAGAAAATCTATCAGCATGTCCGCTTGGCTTCCTAACGGTCCAAAGAGGCTATAAAGGTTTCGGTAATCAGTTTTACATCAAACTATGTCCGCGGACGTGTCCTTTAAAGAATTATTTGTATTTAAGAAAAATCGGTTATGAGACTTGATACTTCATGAAACATTTATGGTTGAGAATGCATTAATTCAATAATAAAAAATTAGGTTTACAACATTAATTATAGTTCAAATGATTTTTTAATTAAAGTGCTTAATTATGGTAAAGTTAGCTCTTGATAGATGGAGCTAAAATGGGAACCCTAAAAACATGAGATATAAGT